AGTATTCATAAAGGACATTTTGCACTAAGATAGTCATAAAGTTAATTACATTACATTACATTTTATTGTTATTGTTATTTTTAATTATTTTAGTCCTTGTACTTTTAAAACGTTCGTGAATATATTTTATCTCTTCATTTTCATTTGTTTTTATTTCTTTCGATCTTAATTTTAACATGACACTTCACTCACTAAATTAGTTTAAATGTAGCAATAAATTTGGATTCAAGAGTTTAGATAGTAGATAAAATCTGTGTTAAATTTTGTAAAAAGAAACTATATTGTTAAAAAATACAGACCAAAATCGACTTTTTGAGAGTATAGAGATTAAAATGAACCAAAATTGAAAGTAGATTAAAAAAAAAAAAGAATATTTCCAAATATATGGAACAAAATAATATTTAATAATTTATTTTTCCACCTACCAATAAGAAATGTCCATCCCACTATTTCCTTTGCTAACACGTTATGCGTCTTGCATTTAATAGTAGGTCAATTGACACGAGATATAGTTACTTTACACTTTATAGTATCAATCATAAATTTAAATTCTCCATCTTTTTATATTTTTATTAAAAGAAAAAGGTTGAAATGATAGTTATTATGTGTACTAATGGTTTTTCTCTTTAGATTTACTGAAACAAAAATAGGTACCGCCTCAAGAAAAATGGCAGATATTTTTACTATTGACTATATTCATATGCCACCCCTAAACTGTATTAACAATTTATTTTTTTAAGTACAAACTGTACTATAGTTAATTCTATACGCAGCAAATATGTGCATAGCTAATCAATAATTTGACATCTACTCCTTTCTTTAAGGTTGAGGGTTCAAGCTCCCATACTTCAAATTTGTTGTACTCGGAAAAGAAAAAGCATTTAATTATGCGTAACAAGTAACAGGATCTAATTCAACTTTTTTTAACTCTTTAACTTAAATTTTGGGTCACTGAATCAAATATAGTTTTATAAGAAAATATGCCGATTCAAAATGGTACCCATGTTACAAACTATATTTCACAAATGGCTTCTGTTTTTTTTTTTTTTTCCTAACATCATACCACTGTATACAAGGAAAAAATTGCAAGTGGGCCTAATTTGATGGCCCAATAGTTGATCCAACCAAATATCGGGCATTGAACCTCACGGAAAGGCAAAAGCCCAATAGAAAATAAATGGGGCCCATTGAATTGGACAACATAACTTGGGCTTGGATAATGTTTCTTTAAATGAAAACAAACTACTACTTCAGAATAGGCCCACTCTTTACAATAGGAAACAGCAAAAATAAAAGCCCATATAAATAAAAATTTCCGTTGCCGGGAATCGAACCCGGGTCTCCTGGGTGAAAGCCAGATATCCTAACCGCTGGACGACAACGGATTACCGATAACCAATGAGATGATAATTATTTTAATATTCACATTTCCAGGCCTTTTCTTTGGAGTTTTGATTTAAATCATATTTTAATTCCTGTTAAATCATAGACTAAAATAAATTGTCAAAAATTAAAATTAAACATTCTACTTTTTTTTTTTTTTTTTAGTATTACGGTTCACAATAGATACGTTATTGTATGAGTTAATAAGGTAGGCTAGAAATATAATTACCTCTATTTTTTTAATTTACTTATCATTAAAAAACATGTTTAAAAATTCAAATTCAATTCTTTCTGTACTTAATTTTTCTAATTATTTCTTTCTAATATTTTCCTTTTCAAATTTTTATCTCCTTCTCGCTTTTTTAACCATTTCTAACATTTCTCATTTACTTTTAAAAATTTGTTTAAGCAATGAGGTATTAAATATGCTAAATTTAGTAATAATGTTCGAGATGATGGAAGCGTAATTATATCTAGCTAGGACTCAATTTTTCAAAAGAATTTTACGCATTTGAAGTAATATGATTAAAAAAATTAATCAAGGCTTTGAAATGGTTAAAAACAAGTAGAAAAATAAAAAGTAAAAAATAAAAAAATGAAATAAAATCAAACTAAATCTTCCACTGTCATTGAGAGATAAGGTAGGAGGAAACAGACAACGAGAAGTGATGGCCCAAAATAATGCAACAAAATTATAGGAAGGAGTGGGGAGCCTAAAGTCAAAGCAGCAGTCAACGGAGCTGAGGATTCTAGAAGTGTAATTTTTTTTTTTTCCTTTTCACATCCAAATGTATGTAAATGCCAGATTCCTTATATATTTGGAGTTTAAACTTGATAAATTGATGAGACAATATAAGAAAATCCATTACATTAAAACGAATTTTTTAAAATACATTACAATATAAAAAGTTATTAAAAAAAAAGTTGGATTTTATAAATAGAAAACTAAAACTAGAATCATTATCAAGTGGTATTCTTAGTCTCTTTTTTATGCATGGTTATAGAATTTATGTATATTTTTTTTTCCTGGAACATAGAATTTATAAAGTTTAAGTGTGCATTAATGAAGAATGAGATGTGATTCTTAAGCATCCAGGCTAACCAAAGTCAAAAGCAGCCTCCAATCAAGGAAAGGCAGCCAAAGTAATGTAATAATAAACGTGAGAATTTGCTTTCAATTTTTGGAATTTTTCAAGCAGTAAAGTTTTAATTAACAAGCATGCTATCTTATTAGTTGCTTTTTCTTGCAAAAATGGTTATCTTAAGATGTTAAGTTGAATGTATTCCATATATCAAAGGACAGAAGTTAAGTTCATTTAATATAACTCTTTTTTTTTCCTTCCAATATATATAACTTCATCTTGAAGCTCCACGTAACTTAAATGGTATAAAATATATTTCTCCAACTCATTTTGGCGTATGAAGGCTTATATAAGTAGTTAGAAAAATAATCGTAATATTGAGAAAAGAAAAAACGATCCTCTTATGCCTTTCTTCAAGTTGGATTTTAAATTAAACCATAATATTTTACTTTCTTCTGAGATTTTTGTTTGATTAGGTAACTTTGTCCTCACACATTTTAAAATAATATTAATATAATGTTTTATGGCTCCAAACCTATTTAAACTAATGATCGATAATGAATTTTGAGGCTCACGTAAGCATAGCTCACATCTTGTCCTTTTCTAGAGATGGAAAGTTCAATCCACACCCCATATTTATCATACTAAAAAATAATAATAATAAATTTTTAGAGTAATAAAATTAATGAGACACTAAGGTGCGTTTGGTTGGTAATCATAAAACATAAATTTTCTTTGGGTAGCAAATTTGACAATTGAATCTCAATTTAAAAAATTGTTCAATGTTTATTTAGTAATATATTTATAAACCAGAGGTAGTTACAAACTAAATTTTAGTTTAATCTAAATTTATATTAATTAATTTATTAACTTTTTTTTTTGAATTTTGTATATTTTACAAAGTTATATAATTTAGAATACATTATATTTTACATGTTTCAATTTTAACAAGCATAAAATGAATTTATAATATGAAGTAATATATTTTATCAAAGTTTTTATCTTAATTTCTATTGTTTGGATCACAGAATTCGAAAACAATTTTTAAAAGCGAATCTCAAAAATTCTACTGAGTGAATCTGAAAACAAAAAAAGAATCCAAGTTTCCAACCAAACGGGTCTTAAATGATCTGACACCTAACATAGAATTAAAAAAAAAAAAAGAGCCCAAAGTTCAAAGTTACTCACTCTTTCTTTTAGTATAAAATGTGGAATGAAATTCGAACTCATGACCTTTTTTACCCTCTCTTCTCCATACATGGAAAGACAATATATTCTCGCTGAGAGAGTAATTTTGAAAACTTTTCCAATCAAGTAAGTATCTTAAAAAGCTAGAATAAACGATGAAAGAGAGGTCAAGTCCCACTCAAAGTGCAAGTACTTTGAAGCTATACTTAAATTCACAACTTATTAATTCGCATTAATAAATGTCATATATTTACTTTATTTGAAGTCCAAATCCACTTTAATTGATTTGGTATTATAAATAATAAACACTAAGGTGAAGTTCTTAATCCAAGCTCTCCTTTGTGTGTGAAACAAAACAGAATACAAAAGAAAGAAATTCAAATTGAAGTTCCAATTTTTATATGCAAAAAGATGCTGCGGCTCCTCCTTCTCCTTCTGCAACTACAGCTTCACTTTTGCCCTTCCTTCTCTGCTCTCGTATCCGAATACCAGGCCCTCCTCTCCCTCAAAACCTCCATTTCCGGCATCTCCTTCTGGAACGCCGGCGCCGGCCACTGTACCT